TCATAACTATCTATCAACCTGAGTTTGTTCATTTCTATCTATCTATCTATCTATCTATCTATCTATCTATCTATCTATCTCGGATTGTTCATTTCTATCTATCTATCTCAGGCTGTTCATATCTATCTATCTATCTATCTATCTATCTATCTATCTATCTATCTATCTATCTATCTGAGTTTGTTCATTTCTATCTATATTTCTATCTATCTGTCTATCTGTCTCTCTCTCTCTCTCTCTATCTATCTATGTATCCATCTCTCTGAGTTTGTTAATTTTTATCTATCTCAGGCTTTCATATCTATCTATCTATCTATCTATCTATCTATCTATCTATCTATCTATCTATCTGAGTTTGTTCATTTCTATAAATCTCAGGCTGTTCATATGTATCTACCTGAGTTTGTTCATTTCTATCTATCTATCTATCTATCTATCTATCTATCTATCTATCTATCTATCTCAGGCTGTTCATATCTATCTATCTATCTATCTATCTATCTATCTATCTATCTATCTGAGTTTGTTCATTTCTATCAATCTCAGGCTGTTCATATCTATCTACCTGAGTTTGTTCATATCTATCTATCTCAGGCTGTTCATATCTATCTATCTATCTATCTATCTATCTATCTATCTGAGTTTCTTCATTTCTATCTATCTATCTATCTATCTATCTATCTATCTATCTATCTGACTTTCTTCATTTCTATCTATCTATCTCATATGATTATGTTTTTTTTATGGTTTCATCTATTTACAATTACAGAATTTCATCTATTTGTAACTTTTTGTATGGATGACTAGAGGGGTCGCTATTTTCCCTCCACCTGGCCTCAAATTTTAGAAGGCAGAATTTCAAGGTTCCCGTAGGTATTTTCCCGACATCCACATATTGACATGTCCATATTTTTTGTACCTGCAGACCTGGCAGACAGATGTATTATGGGCTGCTGAGCCTCAAGGAACACCCTTGCAGGTAGAATTAGAACATCAGGCTTTATTAAAAAAAAGACAACGGTCTGGCACTCCCTGCGAAAATTCCGTTCACACCCCTTCATTTCATGCGTTTTTCAATATAGTTCTCTCACTTTTTCCTCAGCATCTATTCTCTCAGTGCATGTGTGTGCATATATATATATATATATATATATATATATATATATATATATATATATATATATATAGTGTATTCGATCGCATCCAGACACATTTACATATACCCTCATAGATCGTGATGCAAAGTGTTAAATATAGCGACATGTACTTTAAATTCGTTGGCTTTTTTTTTTTTCACTGTGAAGATTGGTGTAGTGGTTAGGAAGGTGAGCCAGGGGCGGAAAGGATTCTTTTTGAAGACGAAGCACTAGAGATGATGAGAAAATGCCCGAAAGAAACAGTCGATGGCAGAGCGTTGATGAGACAGGTTGGTGAGGATGGTTACCAAAAGATTTTTATGTTAATTACTCAGAATAAGAAGAAAGATTTTGAATGAGTATCAAAATGACGAAGTAGCGTTTTTTCCACAGGCACTGCTCTCTCTCTCTCTCTCTCTCTCAGTGTCTCTGTCTCTGACTCAGTCTGTCTGTCTGTCTGTCTGTCTCTCTCTCTCTCTATATATATATATATTCAGCGTGTTTGATAAATTGTCCTCTAACTTACGTAAAAATGAGAATAACACCAACATCTTGTTTTAACAGATATATTTACCAACATTACACAAAAATATCTTAAACTAATAAAGATTAAATTTATTCAATAAAATCGCTATTGGCTTGAAGCATGGACTTCAGATGACTTGGAAATCGCTTGCAAATCATCTGGATGGTTAAGATGGTGAATGCTGCTATAATCCTTCATTTCATCTTTGGTGTGACAAGGAGTTTTGTTGGTCTCTCGCTCAACTGCACCCCACACATAAGTGAGTTGGAGTCTGGGAAGTTAACTAGCCATATGTAAGGGGTGATATCGTTGAAGAAACTGTCTGACAGCCATAATTGGGTTCTTCTGCTAGTGTGGTATGTCTGTTGCCAGACAGAGGGTCTTCCAGCAGCCATCTTCTTAACCCAGGCACTTGATGATGTCCTCGGTGTTGAGTCTGAGGCCCTCACCATGTACTACAAATTAAAAGTTTGGGATCACTCTGAAATGTTTCTCTAAATTCATTAAAATATCATAAAAGTTTCCTCTGGCTGTCACTTTACTGGAGAAAGTTTTGTTTTGCAAGATAATGATTCCAAAACACAGCTCAAAACTGTGTATATATTATGTAAAATCAACGGAAGATAAGGGAATTTTGCACATTGACTTGCCCCCCTCAGTTTCAGAACTTTCGCCAGCTGAACTAGTTTGGAACGAAATTGATCGTAAATTTTGAAAGGAAACTGCCTATGAATAAACAAGAGTTTACACATTTATATTGTGCTTAGGAATCCCTTCTACCAAAATACATTTACAAGTTAGTAGAAAGGAAGCCAAGAATTTGCTCTGCAGTAATAAATGTTCGTAGTTGGTTCTTCCACGAAAAGAAAATATAAAATTGCTTTAACTGAAATTATAATTGTTTTATGCAAACAAAAACATCTTTGATTAAATATCAAATTAGCCAAAATTCGTCGAATGGAAAGGCGATTTAGGCATTTTTTACATAATCTATGTCTAGTAAAGGAATCAATTGTACGAATTCAAGAAACAAATTGATAAAAAGCTTAGTCGCCGTGCCTTGTCAGTGAACTTTAAAATGATTTATTAAAATCAATCGACTGTTTATTTTAATTTTTTATTCATTTTTCCAGTTTGCTTATAAGTTGTCGTATATTTAAATTAGATTCATGAAGTTTTTTTGTTTTTTTTTTTGCACGTAGTTACACTTCTGGTTAACAGAAAGTTTTTCTTTTTATTAGCCTCACCCTGGAATTTCTGAAAACGCTAGATTCCTAACATTTGTATCGGGCATAAGTGATGTCATGTTTAAGACTTTTATTTTTTAAAGTCCATTAGCGAGTCACAAATCTTGGCAGTAGCTGAAAACGAATTTTAAATTAAAACAAATCCTTATAATTTTTTTGAATATATATATATATATATATATATATATATATATATATATATATATATACAGACAAAACAATTACTCACGACAAAGATGCAGTTTTGTTTCGATGCAGAAGCATCTCGACGTATGAGGAACAAAGGCAGTTAGAATAGGATAACCATCTTTGTTCCTTACCCGTGGAGAGACTTCTGCATCGAAGCAAAACTGCATCTTTGTCGCGAGTAATTGTTTTGTCCGTATGTAGCAATATATAATAAATACTTATTGCTCTACACTTCGTATTGATCCCTCTTTTAAATTAATGCTGTAAACGCTTGCATTTATTTTCTTTTCCTTCTCATTACACACACACACACACACACACACACACACACACACACACACACACATATATATATATATATATATATATATATAATAAAATATAGTTATAACGTATGTTATATTTATGGGTAGACGTGCGATAATCAGAGATATAGCGTATGTAAATATAAAAGTCGATATTGATGTCAACACCGAGTGGCGATAATTTGTTTCTGGCTGGAGAGCAATCTTCAGCCCTGAAGAATGCATTTAAGCCTTTTTTCCCCTGAATAACGATCCCTGTTTATAATACTTAAGTAGATGTGTTTCCCTGTCGCCCGGTTCACACTCCTCCCCGGTATTTTGAGCAGGAATAGAGTTTTATCACCTTCTTTCCTATTTAGGATTGCATTTCCTGTTCCTTCTAAAGTTTTCTCATCCTCTTTCAAGCTTTTCATCTAAACATTTTTATTGTTGCAACGCACTTCCATATAAAAGTACTTCTTATAAGACTAGAAAAATTCATTCAGTTTTCTGTCTTAATTTCTGGGCAGGTGAGGCTCATACAAAGATGATAGGTGTTCGACAAATATAGAAATGGATAAAACAGAGGCCCAAATATTCATAAAGTATATGCGAAAGAAAATGTATAACAACCCGGGAAATCCACGAGGACATGATACAGACACTTAGTGAGGAATCTCCTTCCTGTGTTACTGTGAAGAAGTGTGTAGAGGAATTCAAGTGGGGCAGAGACATGACAGAAGATGGCCCTCAGTCAGGCGTCCAAAAACCTCAACCACTGAGTAACAAGTTGATGCCATTTACTATAAGATTTTGGATGAAAGACGTCTTAGTGCCTAGCAGATAGCTACGTTCATAGGCATTAGTTCTGGTTCGGTTTATCCTGTTTTTACTGAGATGTAGCGGATGAGCAATCTGTCTGCAAGATGGATCCCAAGAATGCTGACACCAGAGCAGAAGCTGAAAAGTGTTGACATTTCCAGGGCACTTCTGACTCGCTTCCGGGCTGACCCTGAGAATTTCACCCCACTGATTAGTAACTCAAGATGAAACCTGAGTTCACCACTTCGAACCTGAATCAAAGAGTCAAAGCAAACAATGGAAACAATCTGGTTTCCCAACCCCAAAGAGGTTAAAGCAGATAACATGGCGTTGTGAGTGAAGCCGAGACGCACCAGCACTTCTTATAAAACTAGAAAAACTAATTCGGATTTTTGTCTTTATTTCTGTGCATAAAATGGACAAAAAAGAGGTCCAATCAGTTAAGTATCTGCAAAAGAAATTCATGACACGCAAGGAAATGCATGAAACAGACACTTGCTAAGGATTGCTCTTCTTATGCAAATGTGAAGAATTGGGTTGGGGAATTCGAGCTTGTAGGGACGGCACAGAAGATACCCGACGGTCGGGTCGTCCGAAAATCTCAACCATTGATGAACAATTTTGGAATGTCAGACGTTTTCGTGTCCAGCAGATAAGTCTATAGACATTTATTCTGGTTCATACCCTACTGTTTCATGTGAGATATTGTGGATGAACAAGCTGTCTGCAAGTTGAATCCCAAGAATGCTGAGACCAGAGCAGAAGCTGAAAAGGGTTCACATTTCTAGAACATTTC